TCATGCCATAACTTAAGGTTTCTAGATTTGTTCCAATTATTTTCCCTCTGATAATCTTCCATTTTTTAGTTTACCCTTAGTTCTCTGATCCAGCTTGTGTTGGCTTTGGTCTAGGATGTGAATCTTGTTTCAGTGTTCTTAAGATGAATGTTGTATTTTGCCAGCACTATTTGTTAAAGAGGTTGTTGTTTTCCCATCTAGATAATTTTTTTTAACCAGGAGATTTTGACAAGGAGACAACCTTCCCAAACACGATGTCCCTCTCTAAGGAATAGACTCTCCAAGCAACATGCCCAAAAATATATGAGATGACGCTTCAATAACCTTACCTTCTAGGAGCACTTTGCCTGCACCTTCTCCAAGCTATATTAGTTTGTTATTTTGGCAGTCCATTGGAGATTCAGTACTTTTCTCCAACACCAGGGTTCAAAGGCACCAATTCTTCTGTTATCATTGTTCTTTGTCCAGCTCTCAGATGAGCTGTAAATGATTGGAAAGAAAAATCTGAAAGGGAACATTTACTATAGGAAGATGATTTGAGTTCTAGATTCTGGTTCTATCCATTGATCTCTGTGTCTGTCACAGTCCCAGTATCACACTATTTTGAGTACTGTGATTGTTTAGTGTGTTTTGAGGTCAGGGAGTGTGATGCCTCCTACTTTGTTTTCTTTTTCAGTAGTTCTTTGCTTATTAGAGAAAAATGAAAATTGCCTTTTCCATGTGATTGAAAAATCATCTATGTATCTGTACAGGAAAATAATTGAGATTGTACATTGCATTTGGTAGACTTTCCATTTTCAGAATACTGAGTTTTCGTCAATATTCATAAACACAAAGGAGAAAGGATATAGTCCTGATACATTCCCTTCTTTATTTTTTTTAAAATGCAATGTTCCCTAACTCTGTTCAGACAACAAACAGGTTTTTGGTCGAGGTATAGGTTTTGTATAAGTACAATTAAGTATTCAGGAATTCTCATTCTCTTTAATGTTGGCCATAGTTTGTTATGATCCACACAGTCATTTGAATAGTCAATAAAACATAAATACACATTCTTCTTATACTCTCTGTTTTTAGCCAAGATCAATCTGACATCAGCAATAATAACCATGTGGTGTCACAGCCTCTTCTAAACCCAGCCTGAAATTCAAGAAGTTTTCAGAAAATGTACTGTTAAAGCTATTTTTTATAATCTTTGGCAGTATTTTGCTTATGTGTGAAATTAATGACGTTCTTGTATAATTTCTACATTCTGTTGAATTGCCTTTCTTGGGAATGGAAGAAAATATGGACCTCATTTAGTCAGTTGGTCAGGTCACTGTCTTCCAAATTTTCTGGCATAGAATGATGAATCCATACAGGACTGTATCTGTTAGTTGAAAAACATCAATTGGTATTCAACCAATTCCTGGGACCATATTTTGTGTCTTGAATTTTACCAACTATTTGGCACATTGCATGGTTTAAAAATCAAGAAAGCATTCATAAAGGTAATATCCTTGACACGTACTTGTTCAGTCTACTTACTGAACAAATAATTCAAGAAGTTGGTCTTTAGGAAGAAAAATGTGATATCAGGATCAGAGAAAGACTCAACAACCTGTGTTATGCAGATGATACAACCTTGCTTACTGCAAGTGAGACTGGAAAAGTATATTGACTCTACACTAAGAAAGCAAAGATACTTACCATTGGACCAAGAACTACAATGATGGAGAAAATAATTGGAGCAGTCAACAATTTCATCTTACTTGATTCCACAATCAAGACCATTGGTATGTGCAGTCAAGAAATCAAAAACATATTGCACTTGGAAAGGGATCTCTCCAAAGTACTGAAGAGCAATGATGTTAGTTTTAAGACTTTCTTGAAGTGTTTCTGATTTAAGCCATGGTCTTTTCAATCACCTGCTATGCATCTGAGAGTGCTGGACAATGAATAAGGATGAAAAAAATATTTTTGCCTATGAGTTGTGTTGGAGAAGAGGGCTGAATGTCCCATAGTCTGTCAAAAGGAAACACATATGCCTTGCAGAAAGTGCAGCCAGAGTGTTCCTCTGGAGACAAGGATGCTGAAGCTTTGTCTCACTCACATACTTTGAGCAAGCTGTTGGTTTTAGGCGTCACTGAGCCAAGTAGAACTCATAGCGAACCTATGAATAACAGACCTGAACCCTGCATTGTTCAGTGCTATTCTCATAATTTCTGGAATATGTGAGCCCATTGCTGTAGACATTGTGTCAGCCCATATGATTGAGTGGCTTCTTCTTTCCCAGCCCTCTCATTTTGCAGGCATACCAGCTCTCCTTAAAGAATAGTTACTCCTAGCAACATGCCTGTTCATAGGGTTTTCAGAGATATGCTATTTGAGAAGTAGACAGCCAATCCTGTTTTCTAGATTGTCTTAATCTGGAAATGTGCAGGAAAGGAAGACCCAAGATGAGACACAGTAACTGGGGTAATAAGGGTAGATGTGTTGGAGTCAGTGAGACTGGTTCAGAATAGGGCAGGGTGTAGAGGTCTTGTACGTTATGAGTCAAAATCAAATCATGGCACACAACAACAACAAGATTCTCCATAGTGTTTTCAAGATTGCTATCTTTTGGGAAGCTGGTCTCATGTCATTCTTTGCAGGAATCTTAGCTGAGTTTAAGCCAGCAACCTCTCAGCTAGTGGCTGAGAACCTAACCATTGGTGTCACCCAAGGATTTGGAGGTAGAGCCTGATAATTCACATCTGTCTCAAACTCCTTGCTGTTGCTGGTCCTGTGGTCCACAGGCCATGCTTTGAGAAGCAAGAGATCTGTAAGACCATTGATGAAGCATACTAGGATGCCCTCACACTCTCTGATTAGGTTCCCTTGCAGGCCTTTCTGGGGATTGTTACCATCAAGATTATTTCAATTGAAGATCACTGTGAGCATTGCTAAGAAAAGATTTCATACTGTATAGAGTTTTCAATGACTTATCGTTCAGACATATATTACCTGGTCTTCCTTCTAAGGCTCTTTGTGTGAGTTTGAATCAACAAACTTTGCATTAGTAACTGATGTTTAATTGCCTGAGCCACTCTAATCTTGTTCATATCCTTCCTTCCATATTGCTCAGATGTGAATGAATGTGAAGACTCTACTGTATGCCCTGCTTACTCCACGTGCACTGACACCTGGAACAGCTACTACTGCACTTGCAAAAAGGGTTTCCTGCCCAGCAATGGACTGACACATTTTAGGGCCCCAGGGGTGGAGTGTAAAGGTAAGTCTGTACCTTTTCAAATTCTCACTCTCCCTCTCTGTCTCCCTTTCCCTCTCCCTCTCTCCATATATGCAAATCCACTAGAACCAAAACACAACTATACAACTTCAATTCAACTTCAGTCTATCCCACCTGAAACCATCTCAAGAACATTGAAGGTTTATATGGACAGAATTCAAATGAGACTGAAAGCATTAAAAAATGGAACGAATACATAGAGTTTCTGCACCAAAAAGAACTGATTGAATCCACCAGATGTTCTGCTGGAGAAGGAGGGGCAATCTCCTCTTACGCCAATTGGAGCCAATTGAATGATACACAAGGGAAACAAATAATTAATTGAAACGGAACCATTTCAGGAAATATCTTATGATTAAGAGTCAATGGTAATGAAGAAAGAAGTTGAAGCTTCACTGAAGTTACTGGCAAAAATACAAGACAACAAGAATTGATGGGACAAGAAGTGTTTCAGAAAATAGATGCAGCACAACTTATTCAGTACCAAGAACTATGGAAGACAGTTACAGTCAACCAAGTGAATGAGATCCATATCTCTATCTTGAATGAAAGCAGTGAATAAAGAAAGATGTTTGTTTGTGTTGTATTGACTGTGCAAAAACAAGTGGGTGTGGTGATCATAACAAATTATGGATAACATTGAGAAGAATGAGAATCTCAGAACAATTAATTGTCCTCATGTAAAACCTATACACAGAACAAATACAGTTGTCCTAATACAACAGGAGGATGTGCATGACTTAAGATCAGGAAAGGCGTGTGTAAGGGTTGTATTCTTTCTCCATCTCTATCAAACCTGTATGCTGGGCAAAACAAACCATTCAAGAAGCAGGACTGTATGAAGAAGAAGGTGGCAGAAGGATTGGAGGATGGCGCATCAAAATCTGCATTGTGCAGATGATACAACTTCAATTATAGAAAGTGGAAAAGACTTTATTACTTACCACAGAGGCTGAAAGACTGCAGCTTTCTATATGGATTACAATTAAGCATCAAGAAGTAAAACATCCCTACAACCAGGAGAAGATAAA